GGCATCTACATGAATATTAAAGTCGCCTACTATGATTATTTTATCTGTACTAAGCACTAAATCAGTCAGAAAGTCTGAGAATTCACTTAAAAACTCTGAATAAGGAGCAGGTGGACGGTATACAATAACAAACAGAACAGGCTTTTGAGTTTTCCAGTTTGGGTGTGAGAGACTCAGGGTGAGACTTTCAAATGAGTTATAACTATGTTTAGGTCTAAGGTTGATTAATAGGCTTGAGTCAAAGATCGCTGCCACGCCACCACCTCGGCCTGTGTTTCGAGGGATGTGAAGCACAAGCAAGCTTGAAGCACAAAATCTCACTGGGGGTGCTACTTTTCTAACAAAAAAAGTTTGATGGTTCTCTACCAAGCTTCTGGTGTGGCACTTAGAAAATAGGTTTCCAGTTTGTTTGTAAAGCCGGAGATTTCTTCAGTTGCCAACAACTGTGTTGTGAATTCACCACGACTATCACTGGCCAGAAAGAGATCACTTCGCGGAATCCGAGATTATATAACGTCTAACACTGCATTTTTATCTTTGTTAATCCATTAACAGTTACATGGTAAGCTGTGGTAGGACTTAACATGTGCATTTATACCACCTACAGCACTACACACAATACGGATGAGTGAGTGCTGCGTTGGCTGTGGTACGCGATGAACTCTAGTAACCTCTCTGTCGACGGAAGGGAAACTCTATTACCTATGCTGCAACAGACTGAAGCATTTTACTAACTAGACTGGTTTGTATGTTGTGGTATAACGTTATTATAGACAAAGCAAGTGAACACTCTCTGTTACTCCAGTGGTGATGTATCGACTCGAAAATATAAAGCTAGATGTACGTGCTCTATAGAGATGATGAGCTACATCGAGCGGGCACAGCGCCAACAATTCAAGCTAACGTAGCCCACTAGCATCGCTGTTAGTTAGCGACTGTCAACAACCAAGCCCACTTCAACACAACGGGAAATAAAAAGATACCCCACATGCTGAGATAGTTCTAACGCTGCTGTTTAGACACATCCACACGCATTCACAGCAGACATCTTATATGATTAGCAAAAACAGTTCCCCCTAGCCAGTAACCTAAATCCAACTGTAGCTTAGCCAGCACCAGACTACGGCGCCCGCACAAGAATAGCAAAAAAGAGAAACTCACATTTGAAGGACGATGTTCGAAATATGTACAACGCTGTTGGGATGCTTTCCTTGTCGGATATCGACCATTTTAACTCGGCACTGCCAGAGTTAACGGGCCTTTCGGTAGAAGTGTCTCGCGCTTCAAGGATGCGGCCCGTCCACTCCGCTCACCAACCAACCATTACCCAGTGCCAGAGCATGTACTGCGCATGCGCTATGTAAATTGTCGATTTAATCTTTTGCCCCCCTTGTTACAATACTGCATAGTGAAGCTAGTTTGATCACCTGTCGAAAGTGGTGGAAGGATTCGGCTACTCCGATCCGTACTAATACATTATTAAAATACTTTATTATAATTAAAATTATGCATTCAAAATACTACCTTAGTAAAACCAGTTACTATAACTATTATCAGGAAAAACGCAACCGATAGCTACGTTAAATAAGCCAGTATAAAAATGAAAAGTAGCTACTGTCGTTCTGCAGTAAAAGTGTGACTGATGTGTTATTAGGTTGTTAACACTGATGCATCAATACATAAGAAATGTTGTAGTTGGTCAAGGTGGTGGTTAGGTAATCTTCCTTCATATGAAGATGGAAGAGGAAATCTGTTTTTGGCAGAACTCCTAACAACTCTTAACATCTGAAAATTGACCAATAGCCCCATAAAGGATCATAGGCGGGCTATTGGTCAAAAGTTCTAGAACCCCCCATTTTTCCAGTTTAAATGATATGGTACAAGCCTAAAAAGTAGTGCCAAAAGTAAAACAAACAAACAAGCAAGCAAGCAAACAAACACATAAAAAGTAACCAAAATTTTAAACAGGTTTTTATCAGGCATCAAGCAATAGGTTAACTTACATCTTTTTTGCAAGTAAATTAAGCCTTGAAAACTGATGCAACCAATTCCTACAGGTGTCCCAACTTTTCTTTTCTGTGTAAAGGCAGTACTGGAAAAGACTGTTACCACACCCTCTGACACATTATTTGGAGAAAGGTCACTAACAAAGGAAATAAGAGCTTTTCAGCGTTTTATCCTATAACAGAATAATGAGCCAAAAACACCTCTAGGCTTTGTAGAAGAAAAGAACAAAACAGTAGGCTTCAAATGACAGAATGGCCAGCACAGTGTCAGACTTTCCAGATGAAGAGTGAAAGCAAAGCAACCTACAAGTGCAACACATTTATGGGAACTTATGCATCAGTGCTGTCTATCTGGAGAAAGAATGCCACCACAACTGTGTTCAGTTGTTGAATTAAACTATTAACCACTAAAAAACAAAGATGCTATAAAACATTTGACTGGAAGTGTAGTGGATGACAATATGTACCTGTGGAGTAGAAGATGTGTAAAATGAAAAAAAAAAAAAAACAAGCAAAGTGAATGCATCTCAAAACGTTACTTAAGTACAGTATTTAAGTAAATGTATTTAGCTCCTTTTCATCACTGCTTATGATTAATTGTTTTAGCCAGTTTAAATGTGGGAGCCTTTGAGATAGATCCTTCTTAATCCACTCTGCCCCATATAACTCACTGAAACAGGAGTAGAATTCTCTGTTGTTCTTCCTGAAATTAAAAGCTCTTTTGTCAATGCTTTGGGGAACATGTCCAAAAACAGTGGGCTAAACTACCTGTTGAGAAGTTAAGAGTTCTCATTAAAAACCACAAAAGTGCTTAATTGCAATGATCCATTGTAAAAATTCATTGCTTTTTAAAAGGTCTTTGTTAACAGTGATAAAATTTAAAAGATCTGCACTGAACTGTATGCTACAGGATCCATGGGTTGGAAAGCGCAAATTTGTCTCTATTGTTTTACATTTGTTAACATTAAAATAGGCTGCACCTGATGATTTTAGTGGTTCATTTTTTTATTTTTTTTATCTGTAAAACATTTAAATATGAAAATTGTGAAACTCATTTATGCTAAACTATTGCTAGCCGATTGAGATTTGGTCACTATGGTAACGAAGTTTTTGCTCCTACGTCACTACCGGCATGGTTCCGGACAACGGGAAAGCAGTGTGTGCTCCTGTCGATGAATGAAACTGAACGGCAAACTTAATTGCTCACTTAGTTTTTCGACAAAATTTGACAGTGTTTTCAAAGCATTACATGCTAGCTTGCTACCAGGTAAGGATACTCAAACGGTGTAGCCTAAGCAGCCAATATTAGTTTTCTGATTAACGTTAACGCATGTTTACATTGCTGCTAGCCTGTGTTGGCTATCTCATGCTAAGAATATCAACACCAGAGACTATCAGAATGTCTGCGTTAGGAAACATGTGGGTGTTGTGTCTTGAATTAGCCAGTCAAAACAACACATGTTGAACATTAGTGATGTCATGTTTTGCTGCTTTGCTTCATTATTAGCTACTTTATGTGTCTTGCTCAAGCTACAGCCAGCCAGTTACAGTGTGACATCCTGTTACTTTGCCTGTTCTCCTCTCTTTGCAAGTTGTACGCGTGCATATTGTAACTGGAAGCGTATGCACTGGTTTGTATGTGTGTGAAGAGCTTGTGTGAGTCATGTCAGTGTCAGTGATCATAAAGTGGGGAGGTCAGGAGTACTCCATCAGTTCTCTCTCTGAGGAGGACACAGTGATGGACCTGAAACAGTCCATTAAGGCCTTGACTGGAGTGCTGCCAGAGAGACAGAAACTACTGGGACTGAAGGTCAAAGGTGAGAGGGCATCTGTGTTCACAAGGGTGTTATGCCTGGGGAAGCTAGTGTAAATAATACCATATGATATCCAAACCAGGTGGACAAGAAATCAAGATTTTATTTTATTTTTTACATTTGCATTACTGTTAACAAAATGTAAGAAATGTTTCTCCGGAATGAAATAAACTTTTGATCTAATAAATAAACCCATGCATTTCCTCAGGCTTTGGCAATGTTAATCCACAGTCATAATCAGCTGATGTTTTGTATGTAAGATCATGTTCATTGCCTGTGTCATTTTCTTCACCTGTCTGTAATCTATAAATGACTTCTATTTCATATAAGATTGTGTGTTTTTAAGCTAATTGAATCTCCTCCTCCTCCTCCACTCTCTCTCATTCCTGCCTCCAGGTAAACCTGCAGAGGATGAGGTGAAGCTGGGTGCTCTGAAGCTGAAGCCCAACACCAAGATCATGATGATGGGTACCAGAGAGGAGAGCCTGGTAAGTGTCGGGTTGACAGAGAAATTAACTGATCCCTGGTTGTAACTGACTGACTGACTGGTGGCTCAGTTAACTTGAGAGGGCCTGAGTGATTGTGTCATTTCCAGTTTTAAATAACATGTTAGTTCGAAAGAGTAACCCGATAAGCATGTTTTATTTGTTTTTTACTGATTATTTATTTCTTTGTTTTGTGAAGGAAGAGGTTTTAGCCCCTCCCCCAGAGAATGATGATGTGGTCAATGATTTTGACATTGAGGAGGAGGTCGTTGAAGTAGAGAACAGGTCAGATATTTCTATGTGGCTGTGGCTGTATAGAAGCAAGATAAAATATGTGAGTGTATAAGCAAATATATCTGTGCGCATTTGAGAAATGATGTTGATCTATGTCTTTAGAGAGGAGAACCTAGCTAAAATTGCCCGTAGAGTCAAAGACTATAAAGTGGAGGAGCTGAACCCTCCCAGAGAAGGCAAGAGGCTTCTCGTACTAGATGTGGATTACACACTTTTTGGTGAGTTACTGTTGTACCACTGTCTTATTAATAATCTGACTGGAACACCACTGACTGTTTGGCTTGTTAAATCATAGCCTCCCAATACCAAGCACTGTGGTCTTAATTAAACTATCTAGAGCAGGGGTGGGCAAACATTTGGACTCACGGGCCACAATGGGTTCTAAAATTTGACAGAGGAGCCGGGCCGGAAGCAGAAGGATGGAGTGTTTGTGTGAACTAATATAAATGACATATAAAAGCCATTACATAAAAGGTTTTGGCCTTTAACAGGTAGCAAAGCTTGAATATGCAAGGCTTATTGTACAAATTATAATCCTAATGTATTTTTTTCATAACACAGTAGAGAATTAAACCTTCAGTTTCAGTGGGCACAGTGTTGTTGGTCTCCCTTTTTAGCCAGTGCATCAAAGTCTGGAGTTAGTTTTGTTGTGGCTATTCTCAGGACAGAGCTGAGGTCTTGGTCAGGTAACATGGATCTGTGACTGGCTTTGTTGATGCTCACACACACAGGTCGAGCCAAACAACGCCAGCATCTTCTGTGCCGTCCTCCGGAAGTTTGGAAACTTGGCTTCATTAAGTGAAGCATAAAAGTCATTCAGTTTAAGAGAGCTGAACTTCTCCTTGAAAACTGAGTCAGACTGAAGATCAATTCGTTCCAATTGCAGCTCCGGTGGTGCTGTTTCAGGGTCTTGTGATAGGGGACAGGACACCAGCTGAAGTGACTTGTCAATTTTTTAAAAATGAGAGAACCGACTGCAGGTCGTCCCATGATTTGCTGTATTTCTTCGTGTTTCGGGTGGCCTCTTTCTGCATGGCTAGTGTGGGAAAATGAGTGAGGTAAAGTAAGTCCTGGTGATCCGCATCGGTTTCCTCCAGTAACATAATAAACTGACGCTGCTGAAGTCCCCTTGCTCGTATAAAGTTAACAAGTTTTACGACTGGATTCACAACATAATTAAGCTGTAATACAGACTTGCACAGAGATTCCTGTTGAATGATGCAGTGATCTACCATCTGCTGGGGGAAACGCGGGCATTGCAGGGAAAAGGCAAAACGACTGAGGTTTAATGATAACAATTTAATAATAGTTCAGCGGGCCAGATTAAAAAGCCTAACGGGCCGTAGTTTGCCCATGCCTGATCTAGAGTTTTCTAAAAACTGTAACCGTGC